GTTTGGTGCTGGTCTGTGGATTGACTCTGACTCTTCTCAACATCCTTCACTTCTGTTTATTCCAGATTAGTCTTGGTCTGCCACTTGGAGCCTACACTTGAACTGTGCCTGTGGTCTAACATTTTCTCACAATGTTTCTCACAGTGGAGACTGAAAGATGAAATCTCTGAGATAGCTTTCTGTATCCTTCCAATCCGCCTGTCGATCTCCCGCTCCGTTCTTCCCCCATTCGTGAACAATGAGAGCTGTCCATGCTCAGAAACCATCAAAGCTGAATGAACTGGAGATGTTTTGTAAAGAAGAATGGTCTAAAATACCTTCAGACACAATCCAGACTCTCATTAGAAGCTGTAGGAAGTGTTTAGAGGCTGTTATTTCTGTGAAAGGAGGACCTACAACATATTAAGGGTTTTTTATGGGGCCCAAATTTATGCACCTGTCTAATTTAGTTTAACCAATTATTGCAGACTTTCTGTAAATCATATAAACTTTATTTCACTTCTCAAATATCACTGTGTTTGTCCCCTATATGATATATTTTACTGATTGTTTTATCCAAACAATCAATGATTTATAAAGGTGATTCAGGAAAATTAACAAGGCTGCCCAAATTTTCGCCTACCACTGTTTATACATCCATATGTACACACACCACGAAAAACATGAAGAAAAAATAAAATAAAAATCCATATTCCTCTTACAGCTCAGGCAGCCTGAAGTGTGGAGAATTCCTGATGTCTTTTTAAAAAGCTGATAGGATTTACCGCTTTCCAACAAGCTCCTATCAGCAGGCATCATTTCTCACATGGATCATACAGAAAGGCTGCACGCAGTGACGTGTTCACCTTCTTCACAAATTCAGTTTTAAAAAAGGGTTAAAAAGAAGAGGCCTGTGCCTGTATTGATTCAGATGTTTGGGTCARATGTGGTGTGCGCCAAATGAACTCTGACAGCGTGTTTATCTCACTACTCCACACAGCGCCTCACACCCACGCCTGCTTCCAAAACCAACAAACAGCCCTACTTTCTCCTCCCACTCCCCTGAACCAAAATAGACCTCAATACTCAAATTCACAGACTGCACGCTACAAATCACTCCCAGTCAGGGAGTGAGACACCTCAGAGATGAGCTGACTGAAACTTACCACTCGGTCTACTGGGAGGAAGTTCACATCCATGGAAGCAATCCGGAACTGGACTGAAAACAAAGAAACACACAATCTGTTTGACACCGGCTGGGTAAGGCAGAACCGTGTGAGGGAAAAAAAGAGTAAGAATAAAATTAAATTAAAAAGGTCTAGCATTCCTTGAATGAAAAAATATCACCTGCTGCCTTTGTAAAACTAAAATGTTGAGAAACGTCAGGAGTCAGCCTACTTCACATATGAGGGTAATACAGGCAGAAACAAGGGGTGCTATGGGCGCCTCAGTTTCTCCTATTGTTACAAACCTACATGGAGGAGGAGGAAAAGAACTTTGACATCCTTTTCAGGGACACCCCAGAGCCATTGCTTCACCTGGGTTCAAATAAATCCCAGGACTCAAGTCAATCACCAGGTGCAAATGAAGACCCCCAAACCATTGTGTAAGGCTGCATCACACGGCAAG